GTGTGTGTGTGTGTGTGCGTGTTTGGGAAGTGGGGGGGGTTGGAGCTATTAATTCAGACAGTTAGCCAACCCATAACCAAGCAAAACCGAAAACAGCTGTCTTCTGTCTCATCCCTTGCTCCTGCTTGCTTTTCCCTCACGCACACAGCATGTCAGGTTGGGAAAGATTTATTATGTTGCTCAGTAGAATTCACTGGATCAGTGTGAGGTGGCATTTCCTCCAGGGCCTGTCTCTGTGTCTGAACAACTAGTCATCACATCGGAAGCCATTAATAGCACACTGAACATTTGTGTTAACTCTACATAGAATCAGCAAAATGTCAAAATTTGAATCTCATAGTACTGGACTTAAAATCTTCATAATGGTAAATGGTTGGCTCTTTATTTGAGATGAATGTATTGCATATAGAGATATGATCAATGTCTGCAAAAATTGCATACAGCATACAAACTGATGCTTGAAACAATTGGGACCTCGGAAACTTCTTGTGTGAATCTGATTTTCTAACTACATCTGGCATGAATTTGGAACACAGAAATTAGTTGAATAGCAGCGTCTTTATTATACACACACATATGTAAACACATGTATTTAAAGACTCAAATTTGGCACCGAGTCTTGCGAGAGATGCTTGTTAATGTGTCCATTAGCTGGTATGATTGGCAATGTTTCACAGGAGAGGGGATGCATTCAAATGTAGAGTGGAGAAAAAAAGTGCCAAAAGAAAAAGGACACAGAGGAACCACGGTGGGTAAAACAAGAGAGGGAGCGAAAAAGAACGAAACAAAGGGGAGAGTTCGTTTTCAGTTTCCTTCACTGAAGAACTTCTCAAGAACTGAAACTTCATCCTGGGTTCCACTGGCCAGGCGGGCCTCGTTTGCATGGGAGCCCATTTCCTGTGAGTGATTAGCAGAAGGGAGTGTGTGTGTGTGTGTGTGTGTGTGTGTGTGTGTGTGTGTGTGTGTGTGTGTGTGTGCGTGCACTAAGGGCTGAAGTTCAGAGAGGTCTGGGGTTGTTTTGTCTGCTTGGGGAGGAAAGGAATGCCCAAATCAAACACAGTGAACAGGATGCCTAGAGAGAGGGGGGGGTAGACAGAAAGAGAGCAGAGAGAGAGAAAGAGAGAGGGTGGAGGACAAGGAAAAGAGACAGAAGCAGAGAGAACAAGCAGATAGACAGAGGAGAAAGACAGCGACAGGAAGCAGAGATCCAAAAAGTAGCAGACAGAAGGAGCTGACAAAAGAAAGGCAGAGCGAGAACACTGACGAGTGGTTGATTTTTCACTTGCTGTGAACAACATTCCTCCTGCTGCGATTTGCATTCCAGCAGAGCGGCAAGGTGGAGTAAGAATGTATGATGGGAAACCATCCACCTCTTAAACTTCACCGTGAACCTGCAGAACCTGTCCTAATATCTAATGACTTACAGCCCTGCAGCCTTCCCGGTTCCACAAATAACAGGAGGCTTTCACACACTCCTGCTGATTAGAGACATGAGTGCGGACTATTATTCCTTTATACAATAAAAGCAATATCACAAGTAGCGATGTCACAGAACAGCTTTGTAGGGTTTACATTATTGTACTGAATATGAGGGAAACAAATGCTACAACATCCCTGCTTACAGCTCATGGCAGATGAGCAAAGACTGATACATGTCTTGTGGCTTGTCTTGGAGATTACATATAGTATAGAGATATTAAAACATGATCTTTTTGCTAATTGGAAGGCAAATTAATTATAATTAACTAAATTGAATGATTTATTTAACACAAGAGCAGGTCATACAAGCTGTAAAACGTCAAGTGTGATGGTGTCTGGTGTAAAGGTTGATGTTTAAAACGGAAAAGGTCCCAAAGAGAAAATAAAACTAAGATTTCTTTTTGGCTCCTTTCACTCAGTGAATGAAGAATTCAGTACTTTCCAGAAGCACAGTAGCTGCTTGTGGAGAAAACCTTCAAATACTTTGAGACTTCATGTAGGTCAATAAAAAATTAAGATATAATCTAAATTTCTGCTAAAAAGGTATCCTGATGTGGGTGTGGATATCTTGTGAGGATTCACACTCAATGTACATTGGTAGTTCTAAAATCTGGTTGCAGCACCGAACATGCAGTTAATGACATTAAAGAAGAAAAAACTTTATTCTGCGTGTTCTCATTTCCCAGCAGTTTCAAAGTTCATTTCCTAAACACGTCCTTGTGCTGCCTGTGTGAGCCGGACTCTGCCCATGCGAGAGTGAACCATTCCTTAACTGGCAGAGCAGAATTGATAGGCCGCTATTGTTTCCTTTTAAGGTCAATTGTGTCTCAAATGCCTGGCATGGCTGGGAGTAGAGAAACAGCTGGCTGGCAGGAGAGATAAAACACTAATTTAACTGCATTCCTCAGTGCGAGTCCACACCTAGAGAGAAAGTAGCAGCGAGGGAGACTGAGTGAGAGAGTGGGTGAGAGTCATTAAAGACACGCAGGGAGAGAGACCAAGTGGGTGGGCGAGAGTTGATCTTTGCCACGGGCATGAAGCTCTGCTGTACCCTTGTTTGACCAGACAGTCAAAACAGTCCTAACACATCATCACATGTGGTGGACCTGTTTGTCAAGAACACAAGATGAGGGTATACATACACATACAGTATGTATACATACACCCCTACTCACATTGAGACCTTTTCACAGGGTGACAATTCATCCCACAGTCGCAAGTTCAAGTCTGTATTCTGAGCCAATGAGTTTCGCCTGGGCAGCACACTCACTGTGTGTAACTCTGA